TTCATCCCTGATCTGTAAGCACAGACGGCAGAGTCGGTGCGGAATGGGATACTTGGGGTGTACCTTCGTGTTAGTATAAACAGTCCAGTTCCCCATCAGGGCAAGCATTGTGCAAGATTTTGGTAGTTTGTGTGAAAGAAAAATTCCATGAGTAGGACATTATTACACGCCTTGCTGACGATTGCTAAGCGTTGCATATTGGTGAATAGCGGCCACGAAAAAATAAAGACCACATGGGAAAGTTGCTCAAAAATGATTGAAATGCTTGGGTACAAGTGGTGAGCATTAATTCAATGACTGAACGACCTATGGCGTAGGTTCGCTGGTATTTTCACTGATGTCGGATAGCACTTCAACTGTTTGAGTGATCTTATGCATTAAGTTCCCCTGTATTTTATGGAACGAAGTTCCTTGCTGCTTTTTCTTAATGAAAAAATACAGCTGAGAAACACTTTTTACTGATTTACGTAGGGCATTGATTGTTACCTTCTGCTTCAATTGATCTTGTCTTTTTTCTAAGCACAGCAGCTAATGGCCAGCACTAGGCCTAACATTTGTTTTTTATGCGTTTTGTGCTGTGTAACAGCAGTACAAAACCCATATTGTCATGGGGTTGTCTGTGTATGTGTCCGTATTAACTTGTCCGCAAATTTCAACTCGGGGACCGCTGGAACTTGGAAGCTGAAAATTTATGGGAATGTTCCCCACTCACATGTGACTCTGCAAATTTAAATCCAGTCTCCCCGTGCCCGCGGGTAACATGTACAGCCCGCAAAAGTTTTTAAAGGGGAATTATTATTTCGGGAACTACGGGGGCTAGAAAGCTGAAATTTTGGGGGACTGTTCTCTGCCCACGTCCAACCCCAGGGTTTTAAATTCAGAGCAGTGAAAATCAGTAGCAAGCAATCGTTCGGTGGGCGGAATTGCACAAAACACGTGGTCGCATCGGCTGCCCTGATGCACGCCACTATTTACTTTTTTGTTTTGTTTTTAGGACACTTACACCACCGCCGTGGATACCAAAACAGGAAGAAAGGATTGTCGAACCAATTGAACCAAGCACACGGGCGATGCTCAATAAACTGATCAAAATGGAGAGGACTGGTAACTGGCTTAATTTCTACTTCCATTAAACAGTGACTAGCCTTAAAATTCACATATAAACATCTGAAGCTGTAGGCCCTCCGTAGTTGCATCATGAAGTCTTACGTCTGAAATTATAAGTCTCATTCACGATTATTACGAAACACGAGTATCGTGAAACGAAGGATGTGAAAATGATTAATGTGCGCTAAAAATCTAAGCCTCGTAAGCTGCCTGTTTGGCGCTTAATAGTCATGAATGCCTTCTTGAAATCTCCGGGACAGGAAGTTATTATTTGTGAATCTGACGTATTTTCTTCGAAATCACCAAACTTTCGAATTCACACGACATTATTGAGATGGATTTCTTCGCATTTTTTTGAAAAGAAAAGCAAAAAAGGTCAGGTCTGGCGCACGCAAAGCTTCCGACCTGAATGACACCTCGCAGCTATTAAATACTACCTTTTGTCAAAATTTGGAGCTTGTTTCCTCATTTTCTAAGATGCAACGTTTCACTTTCTGCATTTAATGGTTTTTGCAGTTCTTTGTCGAACTTCTACAATTTCTTGATCGGAATTTTGCGTGGTTCATTTGTATTCTTTTGACAGCCTTTTCTTTTATTATTTGCTACTGACAGTGTGCTAGCACTGGGGCCACTTTTTGTAATTAATGAAACAGAACGAGCCTAAGAAGAGATACAAGGGTCTGGTTAATGAAATTGTATTTAACGCTGACAGTTCTAGCAGTCTTTATATTACGAACTTTTTCACTCACCCCACCTCCTTTCCTTTAATTCAAAATGAGAAGAGAGCACCATATTTTGAATATCTTTACTATTTTAGCGCTTTATTTTTTAGGAAAATAAAGTTTGTTGGATTAGCCGCTGTTAAAAAAAAAAACCTGTGCTTCAGCCATTTAGTGGCCCAAGAAAACTTTCTACAACTTCATCCGGTACGGCCTCTTCTTCTGGACTGTCCCTTTTCTCTTGCGTTAATTTAACAGCTCCAGATTTTTACGACTTCATAAGAAGTTTTTGACCTACATATTTTGCAGTGTCACTTTTGGTATTGAGGTTTTCATTACCAGTCCTCATCTAGCACAGCGCATACATTCCTATTTGGAATAATTCTTGATTGGGCCTCCATGGCCCTTTTCTACCTTCCCTATTTCGTTGGCACATCAATTCTTGTTCTGAAAGTGCTGTTTGATTAGACTTTTGTGGAACAGGAATTTCCAATTGCAGTGCATGCACCAGTTATTCGGGCTAACCCGTTTATGTCACTGAAGCCTCCACCTTGCGAACTGCCACAAGAAACTGAGCCGAAGCAGTGGGAGCCGGAATCGAATCGTGTTGGACTTCTGGCTCGAAAAATCGGAGTGTTCCCGCAGTGGAGTGTGGACGGAACCCGGTTTTTGTGCACATTACTTGAATTTCCCAAGAATCTTGTTATATCTGCGCTTGATCCAGAAACTTATTATCGGTTAGTGTTTGCTTTTTATACTTACATTTACTGAGCCAGGTGTTCTTGACTACACCTCAGCGACATAAAGGGTTCGACGGCGGTAGTCGTCCGGCCAGTCTCGCTGGTTGGGTTTTCAGTTCAGTTAACTCCCTTTTCTTTCGTTCCTCTCTCACTCTGTTTGTTCTTTCTCTGTTTTCTCCTTCTTTCGCATATCCATCTTGCAAATTAGTTACATAGCTGTTCAGTACATGGCGAGTAGGAGGCTGTACTAGTGATTTCCGTTCCTACCTGTACGCATAATTCGGTCTGTGTTTACAGCTAAAGGATGAAACATAGGCAGACTGAATCATGAAATGTCTTCTTACACATTACACTTAAGTAAAAGGCAGTACGGGCCTCAAAGGCCCTGTGAAGGAATGGAAGAGGGTAGTAACCAGGGCCAGGAACAACGGCCCATTCAGCGCAGGGTATCGACCGGCAAGGGTCGCACCAACCCTATATGCAATAGGAATAACCAGAGTTAGAACGGTGGCCATCCAGAATCCAGTGAGGTGGTGAAGAAAGGAAAATAGAGAAGGCCAAGAATCCAATCCTTTGAAGTCCAGTCCTTTTATTCTATTTTATTAAAAATAGTCTCATTCAAATTCGGCGCTTTTTGCATCCCCTCTTTACTCATCGTGAGTGGCTGATATTCTTGAAACAGAAAGTAACTACTCAAGTGACCTCTGATGGGGCATACGTCGTGATCCTGGCTGCGTATTTGTGGGTCTGACTGATATCTGAAAACAAAATAAGCTCTACAGAAGAGTCTGGCACGACTGCTCTTGGCGTTTAGCAGTAACACTTGAAATGTTAACAAATTGCCCAACACAGTACTTCTGTGTGTAAAGCTTGCCAACAGTGAAATGGCAATGTTTAATACTGTGTTTCTTCAAACAGAAAAGGAAATGTGGTGTAAGGAAACAGGAAAAAAAAACGGTGTAAAGTTTTTCTGCAGTAAAACTGGTACGATTTTCAGAATGAGCATGGTTGGCAAGAACAAAGCCTATGGTCGCTATGGCCCACGATGGCGGATCACAGTTGGGGCTGTGGATGCCGATCCAACAAAATGTACAGCACGCTACCGAGCGACATTTGAAAGACATGGTAGCAGCTAATCTACATGTTATAAGATCAAATTTTTTCATTTTTTCCCTTGTAAAATCCTGCTCACAGGATTTTTCCTCAAAGCTATCGTGAAGAACTGTACTGAAAAAAAGCGTAATATACTCGCGCGAACTTACTGCTAAGCCAAGGGAGGATGAAATTGCGCGAAGTTTAGACACTAATTTCAGGTAGTTAGACATTAATTTCAGGTAGTCTTCCAGTTTCAGTTAACTTACGTAGGTTTGAAACAAACAAGAAAGTAAAATATGAAAATAAAGGGGGCACATTGGTTTTCTACTTCATGCATTGTTCTGAAATTTGCTCTAAAACACAGCCTTGCAATGTTTGGATTAACCTATTGCCAGCATTTATACATAACTACGCTCTCATTTCCATTGTTTACGTCAGGCATGGGCAACCTTTGGCAACACGCTCAAGTAGCAGCGCATCAGATTTGCCCATGCATTCATGCGTTTTTGCGCTAAACTTGACGTAGTCAGATGGCTAACAGCATGAATTGCTTTACGTTTTAACACATGCAACTTATGTGTCTGTGTTTTGGTCTTTCCTTTCATGCAGGGAGAGAACGTCGCACAGACGTGCTCTTGAAATTATGAGTTTTGCATTTGCAAAAGACGCAAAGACGCGAAAAAATAGATAATTTTTTATCAGCTTGTTCATTCAGTAAAAAAAAAATAAACAATAGCAGATTAGTGTGAGCTCTGAGCTTAAACTGTTGACACAAGATTGTTGAAATCTGGATTTATATTACTGACACAGAGTCTCAAAGTTTTTTCCATATTGTCGCCTGTTAGCCTCGTTTTATTTATTTCTGTGAGAGTGCAGAGGCGTAACGGAATACAAATCCTATTCGTTTAGTTAGGCGCCGCATTCTGACTTCCTCCGCGAGCCAAATTAAAACCGGTCGCGGGCCAAAATTAGCCCGCGGGTCGCCGGTTGTCTACCCGTGATTTACGTAGTGGAGAAAATGTATACTTTGGCTGGAACTTTTTGACCGCATTCTGTCGTTATTCATCTTTCCCTTTCAGAGGACGGTTTTCGCGCTATTTGCTTAATTTTGTAAATTTGCAAAATAGCAATACCATCTTCTCATTTTATCATTGAAAAAACAAGTTTTTTTTTTAAGGATTACCTGTGAAGAAACATCTTGCATCGTTTCTGGTCACTGAAGATGCAGTGGTTAAGCCGGGAACGGAACTGCATGTATGTCATTTCAAAGTGGGACAATTCATAACTGCCACTGGTCATACAATTGATTGGGGTTTCCAGGGTGGCATGCATCGATGGGGTTTCAAGGGTATGCCGGCTCGAGGGTATGTCCTTCTTTGCTTCCTTTTATGTTTAGGCAGTGATAATTGCAACTTTGTAGGGCAAATTTGTAACGTAAAACGCCACCCTTTTTTTCCGAGTAAAGTTTGAAAAAATAAAAGTTATATGATGTAGTTGTTGCTTCTTCAAGCGATATGTGCAGTTAGTTTTTTTTTTTTTGAATTTTTTCTGTCTCTTCTTTCCTCACTCATCACTTTTTCGCTGCTCAAAAAGTCTTATCTTTATCGTCATCTAACTAATCTATATAGTCTAGGAGAGGCAATGTTCGATGTTGTTAATCACACATCAAAGACTTTTCGGAAATGTTAAAATTCTGCAGTATTCTTCTCTCTTAGAAAGCCACTGTTTCTTCAGAAAACGAAACAGAAGTTAGGGTATCTACTAAGCAATGCAACACTCGGCGAAACAGCTGGGAAAATTACTAACAACTGCATAGTCTGAGAATCAGACTGTGAATTACAGCTAGTGCCCAAAACTTAAGTGTAGTTAATATTTTTATGCTTTTTGCATACATGCAAATTGCAAAAACGCATATTGGTAAGAGGCTGTCCGTGTGTTTGTGTGTCTGTGTGTTCGAACCTTTTGTCACCCACTTTGAACTCGAGAATCAGAAAAGCTAGAAGACCGAAACTGTGGGAGTAGTATCATCGTCCGCCTATGCCTTTTTTTTTTGATTTGACTTTCTCTGACTTACTAGAAATTTGCTGTTCAGCGAAAGACCTGACTTATCGGAGCATTAAATAGCACCACTAATTAGATCCCCGGCTATCCAACTGGTCTTGGCGATGTGTTTTTACTTTTTAAAAGGATTAAACTCTGAGCGCATGCAGCAGTTTGGCGACCCAAAATGTCCAGTTCCTGAGCTCGTATTGCCATCTGATTTTTTGAAACGTCCAATCCAGCTGCCAGTTCTTATTTGTTATTTTTTCTTTGCTTCATGCCATACATCTCAGAATAATTAATATTCGTTAATTTCTGCATCTCCGTTTTTTACTTCTTCACTCGCTCAACAGTTTAATTCTTTTGAAATATTTGTTATGTAATCGCCGTAATGGTATAGTGCAGCCCGTAGCGTTACTTTCGAATCAGATTGATGTTGAAAGGGAGCATTTTGCTTATCGGAGCCTTTTTTTTATTGTGCTGAAAAGACAAATAAATTAATTGGCTCTGTTCCAGCACTACAAAATCGCATCGCCGTATTGGTGCAATTGGCTCAAAGGGAGATGCACGGGTAAGACCGGGCAAAAGGATGCCAGGACATATGGGTTATGAGTGGCGATCCATTCCGGGCCTAGAAGTGTTACGCATTAATCCAGAAAAACAGGTTTTTTTTTTCAAAAAATTTCGGATTAGTGTGGAAAAATATCAAAGAGTATGTGGTGCTGGGACGGCGCACAAATATGTACTGGGATTTTCTGCCAGTGACATCCATTCGATGCATAACGTTTAGATTGTTCCAAGCATCACCTGATTTTAAGAAATGGTTTTTTCTTACAACACCGTTCTGAAGATAGGCCAATCAAATTGATCTGAACGTGAACTCCAGACTAGGATCCACCTTTTATTAGCTTTTAGCCAACTGCTATAT